AACATATACTCAATCAATTCGGTTTCCAATTTCAGTCAGTCAGTTCAGTACTTTAATCAGTTCAATTATCAGTCAGTTATCAGTCATTATCAGTTCCGTCTAGCAGTAATCGGTGATTATCGGTAATCAATCAGTCCTTAATCAGTAAACAGTATGAGGGTTGTTACACTCTCTCTCTCTCTCTCTACTCTACTCTTTAATTCAATCAGTTATGACCGTTGAGGAAGTCCTCCAAGGCGGCGGCGGCGGTGGCGATATGTGCAAAACCATCGAAGTCGCCGTCGTAGAACCACCACAACTCAACCCTCTCACGAAGCTCTCGCCGCCGAGCCTCGACGACTTCGACCCCACCGACGACGACGGGTTTTATATTCCTCCTCTGAACTTCGCGATGGTCGACAATGGCATTTTCAGGTCCGGTTTCCCTGACACCGCCAACTTCCCCTTCCTCCAATCCCTAGGCCTCCGTTCCATCATGTAAGTAAAAAAAAAATTCAACCTCATTGATTATATGGCAGTGATGTGTTGGAAAATTATGTGTCAGTGAATGATTTGAATTTGCTGATTATATACAGATTTGATGATTATAGGGCTTTGGTTTTGCAGATGCCTTTGTCCAGAACCGTACCCGGAGGCAAATGCCGAGTTTGTCAAGTCAAATGGGATTCAATTATTTCAATTCGGGATCGAAGGTTGCAAGGTAAGTCTTGTAATTTTTGTTTATTTATTTATTTTTTGTGTTACTTTTTTACTTATTAGCAGTGGGTGCAAACTCGATTTGTTTGTAATTTTACATTTTTGATGATGGAGGGGCCATTTGATGAATAAAGAAATCATTTAGCAGAACAGTAATTGAAATTGACCGATACAGGAAAGGCATTATTGGAAAAATAAAAAGCTAATAGTATAGATACTATAGTATAGATTATCAATTTTATTTTTTTATTTTTTTTGATTTGGTATGGTAATCTGAGTGTGACATGGAATGCTTGTTCTTTGTGATGTGGAGGAACAGGGGATTGTAATAATGCAGTTCATTATGTGAAGTGGATTGAGTTCACTGTTTAAGACTGAACAACCATGTGAAATCTTTGAATTTTAGGTATATGAGTTTATTGCTGAAATGAGATGACAATGTTTGGACTATATGGACATATGGGGTGTTTATCTATTCTTTGTTTGACCTTGCAACAACTTTATCTATTACAAGTTTTAGTATAGTTGTTAATCTTAAAATATTAGTATGTATTCCTATTAAAGAAACCTTATTGTTTATTTATTTTGGTGTTTTGTTGAATTTTATTATTAGGAGGATCATTCTCTATCCAAAAGCATATCTAAGCGGATCCGGTCCATCTGCCATAGTTCACGCAATACAACAGTACATCCCAATATAGAATTAGAGGTTATAGAAGATTGAATTCTTGCATAGTGCTAACATATATTAATGTTTTCCATCTAAAGTAATCATTTTTTTTTCTTACTATAAACACTCATTTCTATGGTCAAGTGCTCTTTTCCATAATTATCAAAGCATTGTTCAAATCAATTTATATCAATTTATCTTGAATATCCTTGAAATTCTTATAATGACTATCATATATATATATATATATATATGTGTGTGTGTGTGTGTGTGTGTAGGGTTAGTTTGGAATATTCCTAAAACAGAGGCGCATTTGGTCATATAGTTCAACAATCCAAAATCGAGAATCAGAAATCCACAATCCGAAATTTCAACCAAACCCATTCACGAAATCAGAAAAAGCCCTAACAAATTGTTTACGACATCAATAGAAAATGAAAGAAAAAAAACATATACAAACCCTACAGAAATCGTTAGACACAAGCATGGGAGAGACAACGAGAAAAAGATAGAAACACATAGACCCAAATCGACAGAGAGGGAGAGAGACGAGAGACAAATGCCTGTAATCAGTGGTGGGGCCGATTTGCAGCGGTCGTGGTGGCGACCGCCGGTGGCCAGCGATGGTGATGATCGGCGGTGGTGAGCAATGGTGAGGTTAGGTGTATCGACTGCTCTGTATGTTGGTGTGTGATTCAAAACAGAACAAAAATGTGTGTCTGTGTAATATATACTGGGCGCCAATATTAATGAGTTTCCCTCTAAAAAAATTTCGAAGCTTTAGTGACTAAATGATTATTTGTCGACAAATATCCTTAACAGCAACTAAAAATTAGTCGCCAAAAGCATACTATTTGGCTACTACTTTAAAATTTTCGTCGGCAATGGTTAACAAACAACGACTAATTTAGCTTTGGTCGCCAAAAACTCATCAAAATACACCCATTTTTTGGTGACAAAAATTTTTTGTCGCAAAAATCTTATTATACGGCAACTAGATAAAATTTTGGTCGCTTAAATGGTTATAAATAGTGACTAAAACTCAGTTACTAAAGTAATTTAGTAGCTAAAAATATTAAACTAATGCCGACTAAATCAGGTTTTTAGTCGCCCAATATGATGTTTTTGGCGACAAATTGTTTTGGTCGCCAATTTTAATCGCCAAATGTGCAATTTGTTGTAGTGAATGTTGTCTGAGTTCATATTTGCTTGATGGATCCACGTTGCCTTAACGAAAAATTGGATATATTTGCATAATGAGTCCAATTAAAAGTATTTGATGGAGAAAATAATTAATCAGTTGACATATGAAATTTGAGGCTTGAGAAGCCCATATATATGAAAATAAAATTGAAGCTTGAGAAGCTCAAAATTATTATGACTTATGAAGTCGAATTTGAGGCAAATTTAAATTATATAAACTCGAGAAGTTATTGCCTCTGGACTAACAATGCTAGATCCATATTATTTGTCGAGGGGGATGGGCTAAGCCCTAAGGAAATAACTCAACCTCTGTGATTGGAATCCCAAGGAGATCCAATGGGCAGTAACGATCCTTAAAGCGTGACTTAATTGTAGCACTTTATTTTTAAGAGACCCCATAAGAGTAGTTCTCCTACCCATTCCTAAGGAAACAGTGTTGATGAGTGACTAGTTAAGAAGGGTTTTACCTTAAATGAATCCAAGACAGGTAATCTCTTGCAAGGTGCATTCCGTCACTGTACCTTCAGAGGATTTTACTAATCAAGAACCGTTCAGAGGCCGTGACTATAGGACTTGGGCTAGTCTCTAAAATACTCATGAGAATTAAGATCAGAGTGCAGGGCCATGAAAAGTACTAACTCCTGAACTATTGTCTAATAGCAGTGTTGTGTGTGTGACATGTTAACTTTTAGTTCAAAGAGTCTAGTTCAAGACTTAGTTCATCATGATTCTTCGGAAGAAAACTGTTTAACTAAGTGAGGTTCAAGTCCGAAAGACACCAACACCTATCGCACAATATATGTTGCCCATGTTATATATGTTCTATTTATATTATTTCAAATTATAGTTTTGAAATGTGAAGGTATGTTACAAATTTTGTGAAAATATAAAATTATTTATTTTTATTAGAAGTGGGGGATTGTTGTGATATTTTAATAAAAATAATTTATGTCATATATTATTACAGTAATAACTCTCTCATATTTAATGTGCTTTAATTCTAAAACTGTTTTAATACTTAATTGTATTATTATACTTTATTATGCTATTATGTTGCTTGACTCAAAACACCTATATATATTCCTATGGTTTTGCCAAAAAGATGAGATGAAATACAAAAGATCTTGAGGAAAAGTTCTCTATTGATTTGAGCAACTTTGGTTTGTGGCTTAGTTCAATATTTCTGGTGATCGTGAACGCTAGATGAGGGATTCTGTAAGCAACATGGGTTTTATTATGGAACTTGTTGGCTGTATAATTTGTATAAGTCAATCATAATTCAACATGTGGCATGAAAAAGGCAATTTGATGAGGTAATATAAATTGCCAAGCATAGTCAGACATGTGTCAACCCATACTGGTAATAATGGGTCTGCGTAGCACTGGAATGATTGAGAGATATAAGGTGATGTGGCCTAATGGTTACTCACAAGGTTCAAATTCAAAATCAGGAGGGAAGCCTAACTGCAAATATGGCATAGTGGGGCTGACTGTGAGAGAGCATGATCAGCGATCATGGAGGGACATTTTGACGGTTAGGAGCCCACTTCGACGGTTATCATTAAGAAATATAAATAGCAGAGAAAGCCCCAGAAAGGAGGATCCAGACACAGATCAAAAAACCAGTTTTATCTACTTTATTTTCCTTTCCAGTTTTGATAGTTCTTTACATTTCTGTACTTCAAATTCCCATATTGCACTTCATTCATAGGAGTAGTTTCAAATAGTTTGTTGCTATAAACCTCTATGAGGCTGGGTCAGATCATTGTAAGTCTTTTATTTTACTTAATGAAATTTTGCAATTATTCATCACTTAATTGTTATTTACTAAAAATTCTCCTAAACAAGCTACCAGTAAAAATCCTCTTCATTAAGGCTAAAAGAACTAAAACACAATCATTTGATAATTGGTTGGCAATTAATCTTTTGTAAGGACCGATTGATCTTTGCTGGCACATTTAAAATTACAATACTAACCTTCAAAAGCCAAAAAGCCAACATATATTTTTGGCACGCCCAGTGGGACTAATTGAAATGGCTAGATGTAGGAGACAATGAGAAAATAAACGCCTGGGAAGAAGGTGTGGAGGGAGAGGTAGACATACCTAATCCAAAGGATAATGTGATAACATATCCTGCGGAAGTACTTGTCCTATCAGAACCTATAGTCGAACAGATCAGCACTTCAGAGCATGTACCACATGTTTAAAATATTGGACGAGGCCATGGAATTGGACCATCTACTGTTCCATCCACCCAGCCAATGAATCCATGAAGAGGTTTGGTGGATGCCATGGGACAGCAGTTAATGAACACAATGGAAAAATGGGCAACATCCTTTATGGATCGAATGAATTCCCATCAACCAACTAACACAAGGTATATGGAGAAAAACTCAAATATTCCTCAGCAAAGATTGGCTAGAGATAAGCAGCCTATTCAAAGTAATGGACAGACTAATGGTCAGACTAGTAATCAAAATTATGAAAGACCATCGCCTGTACCTCAGTCATGGTATAAGCCTCTTTAGAGGCCTCAAAATGTATCATTACCTAACAGCGAAGCCATACAAATTGGTGGATGTGGACCAACACAAGAAAATGGTATAAGAATGTTTCCAAATCCCATGTTCGAAGCCATACCTGGCACAAGAGGGTTCATTAACCCTCTGTTCGAATTCACACCCGACGGGTTGGAAGGGTTTCCTGTATCTGGAAGAGAAACAACACATGTTCCTCCTATTGTAACACCTTTCGCAAGACAGGTTCAGAGGGGTCAGCCACACCCTCAACAGCAGTAAGTACCATAAGGACAGCCAGCTCCAAATATGCCTCCCTATGGACCAAGAGGACATGATGCACATGGGATTCCACCAAACCCTGTGTTTGTTCCTCCAGTGATAGTCCAACAAGTACAAAATATGGTTCCTAGGGACCAAATTGCTGATATTGTCAGAGAAATGTATGGACCTATGGCTCGAGGGGTTCAAACTCTTGTGTATAGGAAGCCATATCCAAAATGGGTCGATAGGGTACATGAATACCCAAGAGGGTTTAGAATACCAAACGTTGCTCTCTTTTATGGGAATGGAAACCAGTCAACAATAGAAAACATTGCTAGGTTCGCAGCCCAATGTGAATTTACCAATAATGATTACATGAAGTTAAGACTTTTTTCAAATTCTCTAACTAGGGCAGCTTTTGTATGGTATATTAACCTTACACCTAGCTCCATCCAGACTTGGCAACAAATAGAGAAGGCATTTCATGCCCAATTCTTCCAAACAGGGCCAGAGATCTCCATGGCAGACTTGGCAAGGTTGGGTCAAAGGCCTGATGAAAAGGATGCTCAATTTATTGCCAGACTCACAAGAGCACAAAACAAGTGTAGGGTCATTCTACCAAAGCCTGAATTTGTGAGATTGGCTCAAAATGGTTTAGAGTTTAGGCTTCGAAAGAAGTTTGACTCAATCGAGTTTCGAGACTTAGTGGAATTAACCTATAAGGTGTCTAGATATGAATCATTACTTGAGGAAGAACAAGACCGAAGTAATGTATCGTACAAAACTTATTATAGAGACCCTAACTACGAGATTGATACAGCAGAGACCATAGGAAAAGAGCCTGTGATCTATGATGCATTAATTCATAAGGACACTACAATAAACCAACAATTTAAAAAAAAAAATACCTTCATAGGAAATACTCTTTCGATTTAACAAAG